GTCATCACTTCTACTGAAGCTGGGAAGCTGGATATAGAAATACACTCATTAAGAGCTATGCTACGGTTATAATTAAAACACCACAACAGTCCATCATCTCATGCGTACACAACCTTGCGTAACTGGAGTTGTCAGCATTTCCCTTGTGAATTCTGCTTTCAAAGGTTTGTAACTTGCCTGTAAAAAAAAGTTACTATAGCCTGAAATTTGTTGCAAGTTCTCTGCCAAGGAAGAACTATTTTAAGATTAGAAAACTATGTATCCATTGGAGTTGGTGGCTGGTTTGGGGCTTTATCTATAGAAGTGGCTTTAAAAAAGAAAAAAAATATAAATAAAAACCCCCGTAACTCAGCACCTTTGAAAGTCTTCCAGCTAAAAAAAAATAAAATTAAAAAAAAGAAAACCTAAAGGAATCAAATTCCTAAAAGTTAACTTTTTTTTTCTTCAGAAAGCTGTGATTGTAAAATATGGCAGATAAGCCTGAAATGTGCAATTATTTGTGCTACTTTGCAAAGTAGTTGTCACACTGACACATTACCAACTCCCAGTGTCTCATCAACACCGACTGTAAACAACAACCCTACCCATGCCCAATTAGTCTGCAGCTCAGGACCATGCCTCTGCTAAAGGACTGCGCATTTTAAACGCAGAATGGACACATTAAAACTGATTTAATCTGGCTGCTTGTACAATTCCCCCCAATCTCAGCTAGCAATTCCTGTGCTGGGCCAAATAACTTACTGAACCGGATCTCTGAAAGGGCATCCAGCCCTCACCCAAAGCTGTGGGGATGTCACATTCCTCCATAATGGGCTGTGAAAATTGCCCTTCCTTAAAAAAAAAAAAAAAAAAAGAAAACACACCCTCCTATTTAACTAATCAGTTTGAATTGTTAATCATAACTTGCAGATATCAACTGCTCTTGTTGATATCTTGCAGATATCAACAGATACAATCGCTCTTGTTAAAAAAATTAAAAAAAAAAGGTAATAAGGGAACCCTGGGTGAACTTTTTGCTTTAGTTTTCCTCCCAGACTGGAAGAAGCATCCTGGTGCTTCTCCACCATCTCTGCCCCAGGAAGATGTCCACTGTGCAACCTGACAGCAGGGTGGCACGGGCATGGAGAGGACCCATGGGGACAGCCCAGGGTGGGGAGCACGCTGCTCCCCACGGGACAGGGGACACCCCACCGCCACAGCATCCCTGCTCCACACGCCACGGCCCTGCCCACGCCCCGGGAGCCCAAGAAGCACCTCACAAGCCCCCACATCCTGACCCAGGCAGGTCGCCGTGGCTCATGAAGGATCTGCACGTGGGCTCTGCTAACCACTGTGACCACAGGTGACGTCAACCTTCAAGCACTGCCACCATTTTCACAAAAATGAAGGTGTATGGCTCATATTATGCAACTTTCTTCGAGAAAGGAAGGTATTGCTCCCAGTACTGCACTGAGTGCGTTTATATCGGTATGTTGTTTAGTGCCAGCAAATACTGTGACTGAATTAAAACCCAAATGACAACTCGTTACTCACTTCAGAGCCCACCACTCACCTCATCACCCATTAAAGAAGGTCGCTCTCCTTCACTGCTGCTCCTAAGAACCTCCCAAACGCACATTTAATGCCATTTTGAACTACTGTGTTTTTCACAGGACACAATTAGGCTGTCCCTTGTGGAAAGCTTAAATTAGTCCTTTGAAATTTGACCTAAATTAAAAGAACTGAAACACATTGTTACCGGCCCAGGCGAGGGCTCTGAGTGGGTGCTCCAAGGACAGTGTCAAGGCATTGCATGTGGGGAAGAGACTAAATTAGCTACCCAGCAGAACGATAACACACAGCTTGGGCAAGGGAAGGTCAAGGGAGAGCTTGCTATTTATCAAATATACGTCTAAACTAATTATTCAGTTCACAAAGTAACCCTTCAACCTATGTGTGCGGTCAGAGCCCTTTTGAAATGTTGGCTATCATCAAAGGCCTTCATAGCCTGGGTACACAGAAAGAGAATGGCTCCTTTGTACACACTGGGGTAGACTTATTTCTAAATGTTTAAAAGCAGAAAGTCTTTATACTCCCTAGGATAAAAACCATATACGTAAACACTTGATGCAGGATATAATTCGATAGTTGACAGTCCCCAAACTAACTCCTACAGGTCCTGTTTCTGCTCACACTGCTTAACAGCCTTAGATTTTACCATCACGGCTTAAGGAAGAAAGCACCACAACCAGTAAGAGCCATACTCGGGATCCAGCCCCTAGTAAGCACCCGTGATATCAATATTGACATTATAATTTACAACGGCTTGAGATACCATCTTCAGTGTAAATACTTTCATATGTACCAGAGTAATATCTAACGGTGACAGATGAGATGCAGAGTTCGACGAGTCCAACGTTTTATAAAAGCACCTGCGAGAAGCGTGCTTCCAAAGAGGTCAGATTGACTGCGGATAACCAAAACTCAAGTACCCTGATGCACGACAACATCTTGCACGTATCCTGCGCACATCCATGCAGTCGATTACCCTATCAGATAAATCCCGCTTGCACTAAAGTACGTACTTAACCAAACATTCTGAAGAAAACAGTTGCAAATGTCCCTAAAGCTATGTTTAGCTATGAGACAAGACTATATTCTCTGCTACAATCAAAGGAACGAAAAGCCACAATCTCAATTCCTGTTAATGTCGCATACGCCTTTTTGAATATTCTGAGTCACTAAGACAATAAATAGTAACAATAAAGGCACCTAACATCAAAAAAAAAGACAAAATTTAAGGCATGTCCATGAAGGAAGACTAAGGAACATATCAACACGTGTCACCAAAGGTCACGGCCCTGCCGGCCTTCTCAGCTGGTATGAAATGTCATAGCTTTAATGACTGCCCAGGCAGCAGCCCGACCGAAAATTTACATTATTAGAGCACCTGACCCCCCAAATTAGCTGTGGCCAAAATGTTTGGCATTTACTAAATTAAAAAAGAAGTCTGTTTTGTCTTTGAAGAGATTTTTTTGAAGGGTGTTTTGTTTTGTTTTCAGCTTGGAGAGCTTGTGGGTGGCAGTGATGGAACCCAGAGAAGGTGATTGTGTAAAAACTTGTTGGTTTTTTTTTTTTTAAAGGGGTTTAATGAAGTACATAAAGGAGGTTTTATTTCCCAAATCTCAGATATAAATCCCACACAATTCCCTGTATTCTGCAGCATAAAAGCTCTTATTATACCATTAACTTCGAAGCTTTTTTTTTTTCCCCTCTCATTTCTGGTAATGATTCGGGTTCTCACATCTAAAATTGTTTCATGTCAGTAACATTCCTGCCCAGGGAAGAAGTTTTAAATCCTTTTTAACAATTTACTCTTTGATAAAATCCAGATTCCACCCCTAGATACTCACTGTGGAAGAAACATATTTTTAAACTCTGCTTTTTAAAATATTAAAAGCTACTCTTTCAGCTGAAAAACTATCAGGCATCATTCAAAAAATATTACTCTTCTCCCTGTAAAAGACTCCACCAATCATGCAATCACATTCTTTCTGATTTAACCCTAAAACTAGGGGACCTGACTACAAACAGCTAATCTGAAACTAGAATTATTCATGATTTTGTCATTCTGAAAAGCCAAAAAGGCACCAGATGTGCAAGTAACAAATCATACAGCAAGTGGTGATGAGAGTTGGGCTTTATTAAATTCTCAAGTTACCTTCAAAAGAAAGAAAAAAAAAAAAAACAACAAACTTTGCTATCGACAATCTCTGTGGCTGACAGATGACAATATTGCTATACGTTGTTAATTTTTTTCAGGAACGCTTGCTAGGGAGGAGGGCTCATCATCTCTAAATAGTTCATCCCCTGCCATCAATAAAAATGTACTTGGAACGGATTCTAAAATTGTGTTAGCTGGTGACATCTATTTTTAGAGGCAGTGGATAGAAACAAATAAGTTTTGCATGAAAATGCATTAAATAAAAACAAAGCTGTATCCGTGGACACGAGTAGGAGAACGTGTAAAGGCCCAATTCTCTCCAGCAAGCTTGCCAGATCAGAAATGCTCTATGGACTATTACATTGGTTTGACAGTCGAGTTATTAGAAATGTCATCACTCCTCCAAAGGACAGATAAAACCTTAGGAAGGAAGCCTCGCTTTCCCCCTAGGGTGCTGAGAGAGCAGGAAAGATCCTACACAATACAGTAAAATCGTTCTTAAATACAATCTGCTCATGACAATAAAAAAAAAAAAAAAAAAGCAGCCCCTCCTTAGCTCCTTAGAGAAGAAAACCACTTTGCAAAGCTGGAGGAACAGATATACCTAGAAGAACATACCAACAGGTGCAGGCTCAAAATAGGAGATTTTATCAAAACACCTCTCCCAATGTAAAGGTCTCAATTAGCCTTTGCTTTCCCAGTAATAAACTGCAGTCCCTGCTATTCACATCTCAACATTTACACTTCCAAAACCTGCAATCCAGACACTGCACGGATTGTTCCTGAGTATTAACAGCAATAGGGAAATTCATTCTAAGTAAGTACAAACACCAATAAAGCCTAGCAAAATTAAACATTCTGGCCACATGACTGAAAACTATTGGGATTTACTCTTCTCTGAAGTCCTCAGGTTAAGACAATCACACAGACATGCAGCCATACGGCCATTTCATTCCTTGAGATAGCAACATGTAAGACATATGCAAGTGCCACAGACCGGTTTCCTTAAAGGCCCATTCCTGAAAACTTTCAGCCATGCACTTTGATTATACAACGTGATGACAGTCCCAAGTGAAATCACTGACACCACTCGCTTGCCTCAGATTAAATACACGCATTCTTGCACGAACACAGCCCATGTGTGAGCAGGAAAAGTCAAAAACCATAACTCTTGAGGGCTAATCTGTTACTTGCCTTAGATTTACCAAAGCACATAAAGACGTTGACTTCTATTTCAGATGTTCAGGCATTTCAAATTAACTTATTTTGTGGAATTAAGGATTCTAGAGGGACTTACCTTCAGGTTCCAGCGTGGTGTCTTCAACAACTAGATTAAACGAAGGTCGAGCCAGGGAAAGTCCAGCCATGGTGACCACCACCAGGCAGATAAGGCAACCCGAATCCCAGCTGACCATCTTTTTAGAGTAAATTCCTGGTCCATTTCCATATCTCCATGTGGACTTTAATCCCATCTGAACACCTCTAGAGAAGCATGGAGAGAAAGCAGTGCCTTCGGCCAGGGTAATACCTCCTGCCTTGGAACGACGGCTGCTGCTGTGGGAAGGAGAGAGATTTAACACTGTAAGCGAAAACATCTTAAAACACAAACCAAAAAACTGCAGAAAGCCCCGAACAGAGCTGAGGTGAGAGGGAGGGGAGGAGGAGGATAGGAGAAATAGTTTTCCAGCTTCAAGAATATGTGAAAAGTGAGTGATTTTCATTTTCTGTTAGCAGTTTCCATCATCACCTGAGGCGTAGCCAAGTCCTCCTTGTTTTCACAAAATCACTTCTCAGCACATATTTAGAGAGCTATTTTACTGACAGAAAAATATACAGTTTTTAAAAAATGAGAGGCACACACATGTGCAGGCACATAACCTGTAATGCTACAAAATTACCACAATTATACAAATTATATTCTTGTTATTGTTTGAAGGTTTATGTAAGTTTGCCTTGTTTTTTATTCTTTCACCTAGGCAGTTCTGCAGCCAGCCAAATTTGCAAGAATTCAGTAATTTTCCACAAGAAAAACAGTTGAAAAATAGTCTTTAGACTTGGATAACCTGTACAACTTTAATTTCACCTCAGGACTTCCAGCTTCCCTATGGATGTACCTTCCTCTGACTCAGTTCAGTGTCCTTTTAAAGCCCGTGAGTCCTGTACAGGTGAAAGGCTCCAGTCTTTGCAGGGATACCAGTTCGCTACATTGCGATACAGGCAATTAAAATCTGTATAAAGTGCGGTACGGACTGCAGATTCACAGGAGACCTCCCCAGCTTCGTTTTCCATTCATATATGCTAAACTGCATGCACACGTGTTTCTCTCCTCTCTCAACGAGGCTTACTGGTATATATTTTTCAGATGGGGAAAAAAAAGTCTATTTTATTCACAGTAAAACTAATTTAAATGGATGGAGTTAACTGGTAATCCAGGCACGGGCTGATGGAAGAGAGAAGCGAAGCGGCATGAAAGTAACTTGCACTCCCTTCAGGGGACCCTGTTGCCACCACACTAAGATGCCAGGTGAAGGTCAGAAGAGCATCCTCACAGACTGATTTAACAGTTCAACCAGAAAATTGGACCTGATTTTCCGCTTCAAAAATAAAAGATGGTAACCCTCAGCAAACGGATAAAGCAAGTAACTGCAGCAATTGTTCTAATCTGGCCAATGATTCATCTTAGATGTGATGAAACCCCACTGAAGCTTAGAGAGCACTCATCTTGAAGGGAAAAATAACATAAAAAACTGGTTTTCTCTCCTGCCCTCACCCTTTAAAAACAAACAAACAAAAACAACAACAACAAAAAAAAGGGGCGGGGAATCGTAGCCATAAAGGCAAACTTCTCAAAGCTCCCTGTCATTTGGATGTGGTACCTCAGCACACAGTACACAGAAACATGGACAAATACTCTCCCTTTATAAAGCCAACCATTAAAAAGTTTACCTGGATTTTATTAGCCTTTTGCTACCTGCACGTACAAACCAATTTCATGGCGCTAAGGACAGAAATGCTGTTGAGGCATCTTTTCTCTTGGGTACTATATACAGTAACTTCTGGAGTCAGTATAAACAGATTTGAGATGACACTCATTGAGAAATGAAAATTGAGAAGGCACTTGGGGAAAACAATTAATTCACGGTATTTCAGGTGAATCCCTGATACTTCAGGGCAAGCTTTTTTCACCTCAGCTGATATCAGCCCAAAGCTCTGTCCCTCCTTTAGAGATTTAAGCATAGCGTGAGCATCCCAGACCACAAGCTAGCAACTACTATTAAATCTCCAGTGAAAACACCACCAGACCACTGCAAAAACATTTGCAAAGCGCTCACTCTGAACAAGCTTCTCTAAACAAGCGCAGAGCAGGTGTAGAACTGAAGAGAGCTGTGTCTCCGGGACCAGTTTGCCTTTGGTGAAGGACTGGAGCAAGCCCTCCTGGGCTCTACCACCCAGGCCAACTGCCCGACTCGCCGCCTGACAGCCACAGCCCCGGAGCTCAGTTTATCCAGCTGTGAAGCGGGTAGAAATGCTAATTGACAGCCTGGATGTAATGCTAATTTAATTTCCATAAATCATCCCGTAAAGCCCGATTAAAAGCTATGTATATAAATGCAAAATTTAATCATAATTTTGCAAAAAGAAAACATACCGGAACACTAGCGTATATTCCAGGCTCTTTTTTTAACAGCATTAATTCCACTTACATTTCAGCTGTTTAAGATTTTTAGGCTACATTAAACGCCACTGAAAGCACGTTTGTGGTTCCTACCCTCATCCCGAGTCCTGAAGTGCAGCGCAAGGCTGCTCCAGCACGCGTCTTCTCACCTGAGGATTTTTGCCACCTTCGGCACCTGAACATCTGCCAGCAGAACGAAGGGACTCTTCATCCACAGGGCAGCAGAAAATTCAAAACCGTGGCTCGCAAAGGCGTAGCAAAGCAAAAATCAGAACTCTGGACCCATCCATGGTCCAAATCACTTTTCACCACCACGACAGTGACCAGGGTTCAAGGATCGCCCTTTCCCAAAAGAAGCGGAGCCCAACGAAGATGAAACAAAACCAAATTCTTTTCATAGTTTAATCGCCACAGTTGCTGGGGGACAAGTCTCTGGAAAGACCTCCTGCGCTGGATAATTATGTACCTCTATCTCAATGTTTGGAACACAGCCCCAGCATGCTTTTTGGCCTCCACAATTCTGGCTTCCTGACTACAATACCATAATCCCTCCTGGAGTCTCAGACTCAGTGAAAGCCACACGTAGTGTTTATTTTTCCCCTTGAAAGGGAACTCTGTCTCTCTTCTCAGCCTACACTTTGGGGAGGAGTTGTCAGCCTCCAATGATTGATGGCTCTCCTTGCCACTCGCTCATCAAGTCAATTTTCACCTCGTCACATACCTGCCCAAATTTCTTTGCCAAACTGACAAGCATGGGAAAGCAGACTGGTTTGGGAGCCCAACCAAATTCCTCCAAGCTGTACTTCAGTTTGAACACACTCGCACACACAAACAAGTAGTACTTGTTCAGCAGTGGCATTAATTAAATTCAATGCTCAGTGTTCTTTTTAATCTACTTCCATTGTTGTTTATAAGATGTTTATCACTCCCCAGGGAGAGTACAATTTGTAGAGTATGTTAACCAAATCAATACATTGCTCATTGTATAACTCTTCAGCATCTTTCTCTAATAGGCAGGGAAGAGCAAAATCTGAATGAAATACGGACCTTCCCCCCACAAAGAGATCTCAAGCTCCCTAAAAGCCCAGTAGCTTCATCAGAGAAATCCAGGTACGTGCAGCTTGAAAGCTAGCAGCTTTATATATACATACACACACATATATGTACACACAAATATATATGCGACTATTAAGATATATACACACACACATATATATCTAACAAGACTCTTCATCATAGTTCAATCTCCAAGCAAATCTGAGCATCACAGCTATTAAACATTAATTCTGGAGGACTAATGGGAACCGGCTGGTAGCTTCAGTACTTTTGCATTGTTTGAACTTCTTTCATTTGCTTTCCAGGACTATCCTGTTTTTCTCAAGTCTTTTGCCACTAAGAGATCGGGGAGGGGGGAAAGGAAAAAAAAAAAAAATCTGCATTTTAATTGACATTCCAAAGAGAGAGAGAAGTCCAGAGGCTGCTGATTGCTGTCTATTCAGCCCAAACAGGCTTTTCAGATGAAAATGAGTAAAGGTTAGTGGAAGATTTACAGGGATTTGGTACAAAGGAGACAATGAAGTTCTAAATGTTGATAGCGTTTCACACCGAACGCATAATGGGTCCCTGTTTGAACGGGCCGTTTTGCATTTAAATATATGTTTCATTGCGGATTTCTC